CCAAATGGTATAGCATCTAAATTTTTAAAGAAGTTAAATGAGTTACAGGAGGAAACTGACAATAAAACTATACTAGTGGGAGACCTCAACTTCCCCATCTCAGAACTAGATAAATCTAACCAAAAAAGAAACAAGAAAGAAATTAAAGAGGTGAATAGAATGCGGGAAAAGTTAAGATATGATAGACCTCTGGAGAAAACTGAATCGAAACAGAAAGGAATATACCTTTTTCTCAGCAGTACATGGCACCTACACAAAAACTTATCATGTATTAGGGCATAAAAACCTCAGAACCAAATGCAGAAAAATAAAAATATTAAATGCATTGTTTTCAGATCATAATGCAATAAAAATTACATTCAAGAAAGGGCAATGGAAAGATAAATTAAAAATTAGTTGGAAACTAAATAATCTAATCCTGAAGAATCTAATCCTGGGTCAAAGAACAAATCATAGAAATGGTCAGTCATTTCGTTAAAGAGAATGACAACAATGAGACAACATATCAAAATTTATGGGATGCAGCCAAAGCAGCACTTTGGGAAAAGCTTATATCTCTAACCACTTAAATCAGTAAGATAAAGAAAGGGCAGATCAATTAATTGGGATGTAACTTAAAAAAAAAAAAAACAACTAAAACAAGAAGAAATTAAAAATCCCCAATTAAGCACCGAATTGGAAATTCTGGAAATCAAAGGAGAGATTAATAAAATTGAAAGAAAACGACTGAACTAATAAATAAAACTAGAAGCTGGTTTTATGGGGAAAAAAAGCAATAAAATTGATAAATCACTGGTTAATTTGATTTAAAAATAAAGAAAATCAAATTGCAAGTATCAAAAATAAAAAGAATGAATTCACCATGGTTGAAGAAGAAATTAAAAAAAATTATTACATGCTATTTTTCTCAATTATATGCCAATAAATATGACAATATAAATGAAATGGATGAATACAAAAATATAAATGGCCCAGATTAACAAAAAAGGAAATAAAATGCCAAGGATCACGTGGATTCATGAATGAATTCTACCAAACATTTAAAGAACAATTAATCACAATACTATATTGGTAATTGTTTAAACTAGCTTTTTAGCTTATTCTCTAGGATTCAGATGAACAAAATTAACAAAACAATTAACTCCTCTTTTGAAACAAATATGATGCTAATACCTAAAGCAGAAAGAGCAAAAACAGAAAAATAAAACTATAGACCAAATTTCCTAATAAATATTGATGCAAAATTTTAAATAAAATACTAGCAAGATTATAGCAATATATGACAAGGATGATACACTATGACTGGGTGGAATTTATGCTAGGAATGTGGGGCTAGTTCAATATTGGGCAAACTATCAGCATAATTGACTATATCAGTAACAAAAACAACAAGAATCATATGAACATCTTAATAGATGTAGAAAAAGCTTTTGACAAAAGAAAATACCCATCCCTATTAAAGCCACTAGAGTGCATAGAAATAAATGGAGCTTACCTTAAAATAATAAGTAATACATCTCTAAAACCATCAGCCAGAATTATCTATAATGGGGATAAGCTAGAAGCCTTCCCAGTAAAATCAGGTATAAAGAAAAGATGCCCATTATTACCACTACTATTCAATGTTGTTCAATATTGTACTAGAAATGCTAGCTACAGCAATAAGAAAAGAAAAAGAAATTGAAGGAATTAGAACTGTCAATGAGGAAACAAAACCATCACTGTTTGCAGATGATTTGATGGTATACTCAGAGAATCCTAGAGAATAAGCTGAAAAGCTAGTTTAAACAACTAACAACTTCAGCAACATTACAGGATATAAAATAAACCCACATAAATCATCAGCATTTCTATATATCACCAACAAAGTTCAGCAGGAAGAAATGGAAAGAGAAATTCCATTTAAAATAACTGTAGACAATATAAAATACTTGGGTGCCTACCTGCCAAGACAAACCCAGGAACTACATGAACACAATTACAAAACACTTATCTCACAAATAAAGTCATATCTAAAAAATTGGAAAAGTATTAATTGCTCATGGGTAGGCCCAGCCAATATAATAAAAATGACAATTCTACCCTAAATTAATCTACTTATTCAGTGCCATACCAAACTACCCAAAAATTATTTTATAGAGCTAGAAAAAAATTATAATATTCATCTGAAAGAATAAAATGTCAAGGGACTCAATGAAAAAAAATAGTAAAGGAAGATGGTCTAGTACTAGATCTCTAACTATATGATAAAGCAATAATTATCAGAACAATCTGGTACTGGCTAAGAAATAGAATGGTGGATCAAGAGAACAGATTAGGTACACAATACAGTGTAGGAAATAACCACAGTAATCTAGTGTTTGAAAACCAAAGATCCAAGCTTTTGGAATAAAAACTCATTATTTGATGATCACAATTGCTGAGAAAACAGGAAAAGAGTATGGCAGAAACTAGGTACAGAGCAACATCTCACATCACATACCAAAACAAAGTTAAAATGGCTACATGATTTATACATAAAGGACAATACCATAAAGCAAATCAGGAGAGCATGGAATAGTTTCACCTGTCAGATCTATGAATATGGGAAGATTTAGAACCAAAGAAGACAAAATGAGCATTACAAAATATAAAATGGATAATTCTGATTATATAAAATTAAAAGGTTTTGCAAAAACAAAACCAATGCAATCAAAATAAGAAAAAAAGTAGAAAACTGGAGAAAAAATTTATAGCAAGTATCTCTGAAATAGGCCTCATCTCTCAAATATATAAAGAACTGAGTCAAGTTTATAAGAATACAAGTCATTCCCCAATTGATAAATGGTCAAAGGATATGAAGAGGTCGTTTTCAGAAGAAATCAAAGCTATCTCTAGTTATGTGAAAAAAATGTTCTAAATCTTCATTGATTAGAGAAATTCAAATCAAAACCATGTCACACCTATTTGATTGGCTAATATGACAAAAAAGGGAAACAATAAATGTTGGAGAAGATGTGGGAAAATTGTGACACTAATGCTCTGTTGGTGAAGTTATGAACTGATCCAACCATTCTGGAGAGCAATTTGGAACTATGCCCAAAGAGCTACAAAACTGTGCATGTTGCATCCAGCAGTAACACTGCTAGGTCTATATTCCAAAGAGATTTTTCAAAAAGTGGAAAGAACCTATTTGTATAAAAATATTTATAGCAGCTCTCTCTGTGGTAGCTAAGAATCTGGAAATCAAGGGGACTCCCCATCAACTAGGAAATGGCTGAACAAGTTGTGGTATATGATTGTAATGAAACATATATAAGTACATGTGGTGTGTGTGTGTGTGTGTGTGTGTGTGTGTGTGTGTGAAATAATAAGCTGGATAATTTCAAAAAAACCTGGAAAGTCTTAAATGAACTAATATAAAGTGAAGTAAGCAGAACCAGGAGAATGTTGTACACAGTAATAGCAATATTATACAATGAAGAACTGTGAATGACTTAGATGGTCTCAGCAACATAATGATCTAAGACAATCCAAAGGACTCATGATGAAAAATGCTATCCACCTCTAGAGAAAGAACTGATGTTGTCTGAAAACAAACTGATGCATACTATTTTTCACTTTCTTTTTTTTTTGTTGGAGTCTTCTTGCACAAAATGACTAATATGGAAATGTTTTTGTACGACTGTACACATATAAGCTATATCAGTGTGCTTACCATCTCAAGTTCAGGGTAGAGGAGGGAAGGAGGGATAGAATTTGGAAAGAAAAACTTTATTTTAAAAATGTTAAAAACTGTTTTTAATAATTGGGGGAAAATTAAATATTATTTAAAAAAATGAAAAATGCCTCAAGCAACAAATATTTGATCTCCTGGCCAAGCAGAGAAATTTCAAATCCAAGGACAAAATAGGTTTAGAAAACAAATTTTTGTAAAATCTTAAGGAGGAGTACATTAGAATATTGTGGGAAAAATCAACTTCTAAAATAAGGAGAAAATAGTAGAGGGCAAAAAAGTTTACAAATAGTTTAGCAAGGGACCCAAGTCACATCATCCTCATAACATTTAAGGATAAAATTGAAATAACGAGACAAAAAATGGAAAAGACCTACAAATACTCTTATTAATGCTTTTCTCTTTCAATGAGAGTGGAGCCAACAAATTTTAATACTGCTCCCTAAATGTATTGTATGATGAAGTATAAATGGCATTAAAAAAAAAAAAAGGCAGATCAAAACATAACCCTTGATCTCAGTTATAAGAGTTCCTGCCTACTGGACTCAGAAGAGGTAGAATGTTTAAAAAAAAAAAAAGCAGAAGGTGACTCACAAAACAACTAGGCCTCTCGGACATCCACGTTTCCAAATAAGCTACTATTGAGGTAAAACATTTAAGTGTACTCCATACTATATTCTACCAAGAAATGCATTTATTTAAATGCTTATAGTCATCTTTTGGCTTAGCATTATTTTTCCTGATAATATATCAGGCTGATACAAACAGCTGATTATGGCCTTTCCATGAATGTCTTTCAATAAGCCACCACAGCCTTAACTGATTAGTATTGTCAAAAGACAGTCATTCATTTAATTCATGACAGATTGTACCCTCCCTGTTACATATGCCAAGAATAAAAGTGAAGTCAACAATAAGGAAAACACAGGTGGTATGTATTTAATATGCTGTAACTTGAGCTTTTTATTTGCTGATTCTAATTCACTAAGCAGTTGAAGAAATCAGTATTGCAAGATACTCAGTAGTCAAAACTTCAATCCAGTTGTGGATACACATTATAGCAGTATCTTCACCAATTACTCCTTTTTTTTTTCACCAATTATTCCTGACATGGAAATACAAAACTTTAAGAAAAAGGATGGATTATCTGAATCTAATTTTTAAACCTTATTGAAATGTAATTTCTATAGGGTTTAATAACACTGTACAGTAAGGGCTTCCAAACACTAGTATCACATGTGGATTCTAACACAAATCTCAGATAAATGAGAACTCAAAGCTTTACCTGTGTGATGGAGAGGGAGCTTCAAACTGAGGCACTTTACTATCCTCACTGACAGGGGAGTACAAACCACTCATTTCCTGAAAAGACAAAAAAAAAGTCACAGATAAAATATAAATTGTCATGAAAACACAAGGAAGACCCCCAAGAATATCAGATGAATCCCAATGTAGACTTGCGGTAAGACAAGGGCAAGGGTCATGCAGTACGGACATAGATAGGTATGATTTTGTATCACTGAAAGAAGTAAGATGAGATCAATAAGATTACAGCCCCATTATAATATAAATTCCACAACAAAAACAAAAAAAATAAATATTTCTTTAAAAAAATATTTTTTGCTTGTCATTCAACTTTATGCAGTTGTTTTTAACTTAGCATTAATTCAATAAATATTTACTGAGTGCTTACTTACTATGTGCTAGGTGTTATGGGAATACAAAGAATAAGAAGATACAGACCCTGCCAAAAGAGAAGTTACAGTCTCTTACGTGAAGTAATACATGTATTTAAGTAAATGGAATCAAGTTATAATTAATGTGAAAGTGTGATCAAGAGATACAAAGCATTGTGGTAGCTCACAGGAGAAAATTATTACTTCTGGCTAGAAAGGTTAGGGAAAGTTTTGTGGGGGAAAAACAGTATTTGAATTTGGCCACAAAGGATGGGCAGAAACTGGGAGGTGAACAAAATGGGGGAACAGGACATGCCAAGTAGGAAAAAAAAAAGTATAAGTAGCCTACTAATGATTTTTGTTTGTTTTTAAAAAATAAAACTCATTTCCAGTTTAAAAATAAATTTTGTTTCTCACAGAATATTAATATTACTATTTTATTATTAATATTAGCAGTATTGATGTTATTTTGAAAGAGGGGAGTAGGACATACCATTGCAAGTAACTGACTGGATAACTAGCACAAGGGAAATAGAAAAGGTAAAGACAACATAAAGGTTATGAATATGGGAGATACGAAGAATGGTGGTGCCATTAATATAAATTGGGAAATATGGAAGTTGTATAGATTTGTAGGAAGAGATAATATGTTCAGTTAGGGATATATTAAGTTTGTCTCTGGGACATTCAATTTGAGATATCCAATAGGTTATTAACAATACAAGACTATAGCTCAAGGGAAAGACTAAACTTAGATATATAGATCGCAGAGAGATGATTATTCAGTCTATAGGAGCTCATGAGGTTACCAAAAGAGAATGGAGTGAAGAACAGAGGGCTGCCAAAGACAGAGCTTTTGGAAATGCCCAACAGTTGGGGGCATAATATAAAAGAAGAGCCAGCAAAAGAAATGTGAAAATGAGCAGTCAGACAAGTAAATTAAGAACAAAGCAGTGTCACAAAACCCAGAGAGGGTGATAAACAATGTCTAACTTAGGTTGAGAAGGATAAAGACTAAGAAAAGACTTTCAGATTTATCAATTAAAGATTGTTCAATTGAGTGATAAAATCAAAAACTATATCACACAAGGCTGGGGAGTAAGAAAAGAAGAAACAGAAGCACCAAATGTAGATAGTTTTTTGTTGGGTTTTTTTCTCTATTGATTTGGCTGAGCAAGAGAAAAGAGATATCGGTCAATAGCTTGAAGGGACAGTAGTGACTGCAGAAGGTTTTTTTTTTAAGGATGAACTGGACAAAGACATATTTGAATACAATAGAAAGGAATCAGTACATAGGCAGAGGTAGAACAACAGAAAGAAAGAGAAGAGATGACTGATGTTGCAAAATGCTAGAAAATAAAGAAGATGGGATCAAAGAATTGACCACGGCAAGGAGACAGGCCACCTCATTATCAAAGATAATAGGAGAAAGAGAGAGTGAGGTATGATGTTAAAGAGTTTTGAGACGAAGAAAATGAAAAAAGAGGGAATTCCTCTTTTGTTCCTCAATAAAGATATGTATGGTCCTCAAGCTGAGGAGTGGTGGAGAGTGGAATCTGGGGAACTTTAAATACAGAAGTCTCTTCTATTCTTAGATCAGTTTCTGTGAGGACTGAGATAGGGATTCAATTAGGGAAGCACTGTCTTGCTACAGTGAGGACCCAGTTGAGGTAAAATAATATGGATTTGTAATGTACCCTATCAGCACGGTTGTATGACTTTCTTATATGAGAGGAGAAGGCAGACAGTGAGAGTAATCCAGGGCTGAGGTTTTCAAAAAGGTGAGCAGACATAGATAAAGGGGGATAGGGATTCAAGAGCTGAGGGCAGCATGAAGTTGAACTGGCTAAGTCAAGACTGGAAAGAGGAAAGTGAAGTTACAAGGAGGGCTAACTAAGAAAGTACTAAAACGTAGAAGGATTAGGCACCTCAATGAGGACAAATAATAGGTTTAGGAAGGGCAGGGAATACAAAAAGATGGAATAGTAGGAGACTATGGCCAGTCAGAGAAATATCAAAATTTTTCATTAAAGGAGAACACATGAGAATGTAGAGGTAAGATCTAGGATGTGAGCATCCCTAAGTGTGTGGCTAAAATATAAAAAAGAAATTGGTCATAAGATTTAAAGAGAGTGAGGAATTAGTAAATTAGGAAGTTTGAGAGAGTAATGTGGATCATGATGTGCCCTAGTACAGGAGTAAGAGCTATGAAAGAAAAGACAGTGAGCTAGGTGCTGAACTCCTTGAGAAAGGAGAGAAAATGATCTGGAAATTGGAAGTTACCATGATCTAGACTGAGTATGAATGAACTTAAAAGGAAGAGAGATTACTGCATGATGGTAAAGGTAGGGTATTAAAGTGACAATGGGAAGCTGGGTCAAGGACTATACCAAAGTAACTATAATACCTTAAAGAAATTTCAGGACCTGTGCAGAGTTATTGATACTAGGATCCTTCATAGCTAGATTGTTCTACAAGGTCAAAAGAAAGACATATTGGAAAATAGTGGCTCTAGTAGACAACCCTGACTTTCAGCTGCTAGGTTACTCATCTTGATATCAGAATTGCATATAAATATTATTTTGTCATCTTTGGAGCAATATGATTCAATAAACTGTCTAAATACTTTAATAATATAGTAACAAGAGTTTTTGTCTTGACAAGCAAATCTAGAGGCACAATGGATGGAGCCCTAGACTTGGAGTTAAGAAGACTTAAGCTCAAATCCTGCCTCAGCATGCACTTATAGCTATGTGACTAGGCAAATCAATAAAGTTCTCTTCTCAGTTGCCTACTCTGTAAAATAAGGGGGCTGGAATCAGTGGCCTCAAAAATCTATGATTCTATGATCCTACTTTAGAAGCATGTGTTTTGTATGCCTACTGTATACCCATAAGCTATTTTATATTCCTCCTAGGACTACAGAAAGGGACTATACCTGCTTACGGCCAAGTGTTTTCTGAAGAGCAGAAGCATCTAAACTATCCTTTCTCAGAGGGCAGAAACCCATTTTCTAATGGGCTAATATTTATTAGTAAGATTCATTACAGAAGAAATATGTAAATAATCTGTAGAATGAAGTTCTGGGTGGGATCTTAAGAACTCATAAGTCATAATCAAAAATCTAAACACTCTTTTCAAAAGGAAAATTTTCCCTAGAATCTCACAAACCATTTTGTGTTCCACATTTCTATAGCACTTGGAACAAAATTTTGTGCATTTTGGTTGTCAATAATTACGGCTTATTGCCCTACAAGACTGTAAGCTCCACAAGGGCAAGACCATGTCTTTTTTTAACTTTTCATCTGCTCCAGTAACACAGAACTCTGGTTTGTGCTTAATAGGTTTGGTGAATGAATGAACAGCTTTGAAAATATATATATGTCTTTGTATATATAAAATGATAAAACACATTTAGGATATCTCATAAACTTCACCAATTCGACCTTACTGGTTGGTCTTTCCATTATTTAAAACGGTTATGAAAAAAAGACTGAATAAGACTAAACTTGATAAATAAATCTACTTCACCCTCCTGCTACAAAGCTGGATAAATTACTGGTGGCCATGCTACAAGAAAGAGTCAATTTTACAGGTTAAGTTCAATTGCCTAACAGCCAAGTTACTTTAGATCAGTGCTGAGAAGTTCCGACATACGTTCCCCACCCATTCACTGGCATTATTATGTAGCTCTAGTCTCTCTTGACCTCTGCTCCTATATCACCATCTACATTTTGAACAACTCAAACTGTATGTCCCAAAGGCATCTCAAACATGCCCCAAACAGAATTACCCTTCCTCTTAACACTTCTCCCCTTCTGAACTTCGCTATTACTGTAGAGGGCACCACCACTTCCCCAGTCACCCAAGCTCCTAATGTAGGTGCCATCTTTAACCCTTCATTCTCTCCAAACCCCCCTCCCATATCCAATTTGTTGCCAAATCTTGTTAATTCTACCTGGTGACATCTCTCATATATACCCCTTTATCTTCTCTGGCACTCAATGGTGAAAGGCCTCATTACCTCACATCTGGACTAGTGAATAGCTGTCTGGTTCATCTCCGTGGCTCAAGTCTCTTCCCACTCCAGTTCATCCTCCACTGAGCTGTCAAAGTGACCTTCCTGAACTTCCCTGCTCAATGAGCTATAGTAGTTTCCTATTACATTCTGGATCAAATTTAAATTCCTCTGTTTGACACTTAAAGCTCTTCATATCCTAGCCTCATTCTACCATTCCAACTCTTCTCACTCTATTATGCTCTACTCACTCCACCATCCAGTCCAGTTACACTGACCTACTTAATAGTTTTTCATGTATACTCTTTCATCTCCATGACTTTGTATTAGTTGTCCCTTATCTCTGGAATTTTCCGCCCCCTCACTTTCATTTCTTGGTTTCCTGGGCTTCCTTCAAGATTTGTCTCAATTATCCACAGTTGATAATGTCTTCCCCTCTCAGATTATCTTCCATCTATTCCAAACATATATATTGTACATACCTAGTTATTTATATGTTGTCTCCCCCATTAGAATGTATGTTCCTTGAAAGAAGGGACTGTTTTTGCTTTTCTTTGTATCACCAGTGGTTAGCACAGTGACTGGCACATAGCTAGAGCTTAATAAATACCTGTTGACTGACTGGCTGACTATCTTAAGGATTTAATCCCTGCTAAAATAACCCTAAAATAAATAATGTATACCAATGTTGGTTATATTTTAGTATGAATTTGAGTTAGTATTAATTTATCTGATCTTTATAGAGCAAGATTTAATAAGAGAAGATTGAGACTATGCATATTCTATGAAATAAGGTCAAAACACAAAAAAGGGCAGAGAATGGTAAGTCTTAAAATACAGAAGAAAAACTATTTCCTTCATAATACAAAGGAAAGAACCATGGGTTGAGTCAGGAATCTTAAGACCTAGCTCTAACTTCACTACCATAATTAAGTTTATGACTTTAGTAAGTCACCTCACTTCTTGCTTGATTTCATTTTTCTTATTTGCATATAAGGGGTATAGATCACATGGGAATCTCAGCAAAGAGTCTCTGATAATTCATTCTTTATAATGCCTACATCTTATCTAAACTATAGGCAGCTACTGAATAAAGGACAGAGGTCTGACCTTCATTCAAGTCCTGCTTCTGAACAATGGACAAGGCACCTAACTCTTTCAGTGCCCCAAGACAATTCTTTAAGCCAGAATCTCTTAACCCAGGTCCACAAACCACATCTGTGGTCAGATTTTAGGGGGTCTATGAATTTACATTTTAATTTCAATAACTGGTTTACTTCATAATGGTAGGTATTTCATTTTATGCATATAAAAGGAAAAGGAAGGAATTAGTATTTCTATAGAGACTACTATGTGCCAGACTCTCTACTAAGTGCTATTTTAAAGTATTACTTCATTTGTTCCTTACAACCAACCCGGAAGGTAGGTACAAACATAGGTACTGTTGTTATCCCCATCTTACGGTAAAAGAAACTAAAGTGAATAGAGATTTAGCATTTGTCCAGGGTAACACAGTTTTAAGTGTACGAGGCCAGAGCTGAACTCATGACTTCCTGACTCCAGGACTACCTAAAAAGCCCATAACATAATAAAAGTAAAATTAAAAAGTAAAACAAAAAGTAAAAAATAAATAAATAAAAATAAGAAGAACTCCTGCTCTAAGTCCACAAATTGAAGTGCAGGCGTTGATCACTGATGAAAATTTACTACATGGACAAGTTTAAGGATCTGGCAGACTCTTCATAAAAAAAAAAACACCTAGTACAGATTCATAAGAGTATTTTTATGACAATATTTACATGTGTCCATCTCAATATATACATCTTAGAATAGAAAACTTCCATAAATGAAAGAAAGGAATATTCACTGATCAGTCACTACATTCATGGCCCTGTCACACTGAACATGCACTCCACCCTTGTTGCCCCTTCCTCTAAATGGCTGGTTCTACCCATTTTAAGGAAAACACTTAAGCTAGCTATGTTTTAGTTCCTCTACAGGTTCCATTCTTGATTCGACTGACTCCTACTTCTAGCCCCCCAAACCCCTTTTAAAAGCTTCCCTTTTATATGTTCCCTTCCCTCCATTAGAAGGTAAGCTTTTGAGGGAAGAGACTATTTGCTTAATGAATCGTTAATGACTTGACCTAACATAGCACTTGAATAAAGAGTTGTTTAATCTTTTTAATGCCAAAATGTAATGAATTTGTTAACTGTGCAGATTGGACTGATATACTAACTAAAATGTTAACAGTAAAAGGAAAGTCTGAACATGTCAAAAAAATATACCAAATTCTTACTAATGTCCTTTTATACAAGGCACATAGTAGGCATTTAATCAATGCTTGTTCACTGATTACTAAAGAAAAAATTATATTCTACTTTAATAACATAAAGGAAAATAAAATTTCAGGGTTTTTTCTATTTCCTCTAATTGACTAAACTGAATTGAAATATTAAAAATACATCAATGATTCATATATCTAAGTCCAATCACTTTCATTTCATAAAACAAAAGTTGACTGAATACAAAAAGCAAAGTTTTGCTTAGAGCTTAAATTATTGCCAACAAAACCTAACCAAAAAAAATAATAATAATAACAGTACCAATAAATTCAGTGAAGAGGTTGAAAGAAAATTCTCTAATTCAGATAGGTTATGAATAGTGTGTATTATTAATATAGTATTCACTGTGTATATGTAAGCATTATTTAATTTATTCACCACTGGTGATACAAAAAAAATTATAGAAAACATAATAAGTAAGGCAAAATAAATCCATATTGAAATTATATAATAGGTAAGGATGTTTATTTCAACCTACAATAACATATGAACATCTGGCACCTGGCTACTGCTATCTAATCACAGAATCCCAAACCCAAAAGCAACTTCAGGGCCATCCAGGCCAAGGGTTCACCTTTTTTGGGTCATGGATCCCTTTGACAGTCTGGAAAAGTGATGGATCCCTTCTCAGAAAAATGTTTTTTAAATGCACAAAATAAAATACATAAGATTACAAAAAACCAATTATGCTGAAACAGATATCAAAAAAAAATTTTAAACAAGCACAAGTTAAGAATCTCTGATCTAGTGTAACCTATCAATAACTGAACAACAATCTCCACAAAACTGACCAATGATCACTGAGCTTTGCTTCATTACATCAAGTAAGGGAGAAGATACTGTGTCTCAGTCAGTCAACCAATTTTTAAGTGTCCATCCTCCCAAATGAGGCTAAGAAAGGTTAAGTGCCACAAATACCACTAGTAAGAGTCAGAGGCACAGTGAACTCAGGTGCTCCTCACTCCAAATCCATTTACCTATCTCACTACCTATTTAGGTGCACTATGCTAGAAGGTAAGGGTACAATTACAAAAATGAAACAGTCTTTGCCCTCAAGGAGATTACATTCTACTAGTAATACAACAATACTAGTTGTATTACTAGAGTAATACAACTTGTACACACAAAGTTATACACCTAATAGAAAAAGCATGTATTTTAAAATTTTAATTAGATAATTAAGAATTATTAGTTCTATACTGCTAGATGTTAAGCTCCTAATGAATGAGAATTAGGGCCTACATGTCTTTTGTATCTCCCTCAGCACTAAGCATAGTGATTTCATATATAATAAACCCTCAATAATTCTTTGTTGAAAGAATGAAGTAGCAACAAATTACTTTCATGTTAATATTCAAGCTTTTTTTTTTAGAGCTATTAGGATGAACCTGAATTTTTCTCTATACAGCTGCAAAATATGTGGTAGCACAAAACCAAACATAAACTATATATTGATAGCCTGAAAACATGTTCCAACCTTTTTTCCCCACAAAAATTAATACTGGTCAGTAAATATACTAATTAAAGTGCAAGTAATATCTGTTACTTTTTTCTTTATAGAGACAAATCCCCATAAAGTTAACATATGCAACAAAGGTGACAATTTGATGGATATGAAAACTTTCCAGAGTTTCAACAATATCTAGATCCTCACCTCCACTCGTTTAATATCCTCCTCCAGAACACTTAGCTCCTTTTGGATCTGTTCCAGTTGCTGTGGATAAAACGAGAAAAGAAAAATCTAAAGTAATTTGAATTGGCATCACCACAGCCACAAGTTAGCTCTTCTCCCTTAGATATTGGCCCAATTCAGGTAATTGAAGCAATAAATTATAAAACAGTCCCCTCCTCAAAAGTGCTGATCAACTAGAGGGTCCCGGTTATTTCAGTTTTTAAAATATGTTATTTTAAAAGTTAAGGGAAAAGGGGAGACTTCCACAGGCAGGAAAGAAGTTACCTTTAATATGTAAATGTGGACTGTGAAAACCAGAACAGAGAAATTATAAAAAGATGAATCAAGGAGTAGGAACTCCTTCTTCCTGGGCAAATCATAATTTATAGTCTGAGAGAGCTGCCTGAGGATCACAGAGGTTAGGTGACTTGTCTACATTCTCATTAGTTAGTTGTTGTCTTTTGTGCTCAAAGAGGACCAAAATGACATCACTATGTTGGAGTCAAAGAACAGAGTGCCCGACTGTGGCTGATCGAACCAATACGAGCTCAGAAGGCTCTACCACAGGTCGGGCACAAACAGTCCATATGAACATTTGGAGTGGAGATGTCTCCATATTTGTGCATCTCACATTTCTTTTGAACTACTGCAATTCTGCTTTGCTCTCAGAGCATAGCACCTTTTTTGATGCAGGCATGCCATACTGGACAGTCCTGTGCCAGTGTCCCATGTCTCACAACCAATTCCAGAGTTCTTCATTGAGACCTTGAGTGTACCTGTATCACTTCTTCTGACCTCTGCGTGAGCACTTGCCCTGTATGAGTCCTCTATAAAATAGTCTTTTAGGTATCTCAATAAGGGAAAGGGAAATAGGTTGTCCTGTGTCTGTGTTCACATAGCTAATAAAAACCAGGGCAACATTTAAATCGAGTTCTTGCTGATACTCTATTGACAATAGAGTCCAACACTCTATTGACTATTTGTTGTTATTCAGTCATTCAGTAGTGTCTGACTCTCCATGACCTCATGGACCATAGCCAGCCCTTCTGTCCTCCACTATCTCTCAAAGTCTATCCAAGTTCATGTTCATTGTTTCCATGACACTTTCTATCCATCTCATCCTCTGCCATGCCCTTTTTCCTTCTGCCTTCAATCTTTCCCAACATCAGGGTCTTTTCCAATGAGCCCTATCTTCTCAGGATGTGACCAAAATATTTAAGCTTCAGCTTCACTATTTGACCTTCCAGTCAAATTACTTTTAATTTCATTTAATTCATAAATTAATGCCTGAATTAATTTCTCTAAGCATTGACTGATTTGATCTCCCTGCTGTCCAAGGAACTCTCAAAAGTCTTCTCCAGCACCACAATTCTAAAGCATTGATTCTGCAGTGCTCAGCTTTCCTTATAGTCCAACTCTCACAGGTATACATTCCTACTGGAAAAATCATAGCTTTGACTACATGGACCTTTGTCAACAAAATGACATCTCTGCTTTTTAGTATGCTGTCTAGATTTGCCAAAGCTTTTCTTCCAGGGAGCAAGCATCTTTGAATTTCATGGCTGCAGTCATTGTCTGCAGTGATCTTTGAGTCCCAAAATATAAAATCTGACATTACTTTCATTTCTTTTCTCTCTTATTTTCCAGGAAGTGATGGGACCAGTTGCCAAGGTTTTAATTTTTCTGATGTTAAGTTTCAAGTCAGCTTTTACACTCTCCTCTTTCACCCTCATCAAAAGACTTCTTAATTCCTCTTCATTTTCTGCCATTAGACTGCATATCTGAGACTGTTGATTATTTATCCCAGCAACCTTAAACCTGGCTTTTGATTCATTCAGCCTGGCATTTCACATGATGTGCTCTGCATGTAAGTTAAATAAACACCATAATGCTTATCAATAATGGAATAAGATGAATTTTATAGGGGTGGAATGATTAGCTAGTAGACGTATGGAGGTATGGAAAGCTACAGGGTGCTTTTAGAGAAAAATTATTGAGAAAAGGCAGAAGGAAAAATACAATTCTGAATGCACTGACAAAGTATGAGGACACAGAAAGAAAACAAGGCTCACAAAAGAGCTATGTTAAAGACCAAAGAAAAGAGAGAAGAAACAAAAACTTCCAAGAACAAGGCCATAGTTTTAACAACTGAGCTGATGAAGGATGGCTGTGAAGTTCTAATATGACCAAAAGTCAACAAAATTTGAATTATTCTAGAAACCCAAAGAGCGACTTTTATTATAATAATGCAATGGTGGACTAGAGAGTAGAAGTGAGATAAACTAACCTGAGGAATACTAACTCCAAGGGATAGGGACTACGACAGCGGTATTCAGTCTTTTCTCGCTATAACCTAAATCTGATGCTAATCATACTTTGCCTGAAATGAAACCAAGCTAGGAAATTCCAAATATTTTTAAATCAGTGAAATTTATATATTACAACTAGAAAATACAAAAAATTACTTTCACCATTAGACTCTATATACAGTTCACTCCCAGGCCCCCAGCCCAGAACTTTCAAGAGTCTAGTTAGAACAGAAAATGGTCATGACAACCTTTACCTTTGCAGAGCTGTTGATCAGTTAGTATATCTTACAAGTCTCACAGTGAAAAAGAAGTGATAATATCTTCTGCTTATGTGCTACCAAAGGACATGGAGAAAGGGGGGAACAGGAAAGGAATAAGACAAAAGGCAATATCTAAAGTGTGGAGTAGTTGAATTCAATGAATCAACACTTTAGAGCTAGAGAAAATCATCTAGTCCAACCACCTTCTTATCTTACAAAAGAAACTGAGGCTCCAGAGAGGTTCAATAACTTGCCTAAAGTCACATAAAGTTAGTGACAGGACCAAAACTAGAACACAGTACCCTTGTTCCCAGTCCAGTGCTTTCCCTAAAAAAAATAAATAAATAAATAAAAGGACAGGCCAGAAAATCAGATCTGTAGCTACCAACATCTATAATGTGATCTTAAACTAGATGCCAAATAGTCTTTACACCTTCTCTCTTTACACAAATTGTTTTCTGCATATTGAAAGACCATTTTTAAAAAAAGAATCATTTACAATCCTTCTGCAGAATACAGAAAATCCTAATATGGATAATAATTTGAGGTTGGGGATAAATGTCAATTGAGGAAAGAAGAGTGGGGAGAAAAAAAATTAAAATAAAATGTTAAATGAATTTACTTCACTGAAATTATTAAGTGTTTTAAATCTGAACAAGAGTCCTAGCCATGACAATACTAGCATTCTCTAACTTAACTATTTCATAAAAAAGTCCTGCATCTTAAACAATGCAACATTACTAGAGTTAGTGTCAAAGGAGCAATGCTCCTATGAATTTAATAATTAATTTAATAAAAACTATATATAAAACACTGGGAGAGGCTAGATATTCAACAACAACAACAACAAATGGACTGCCCTCAAGGCTGTTACATTCCACTTGGGGGAGTGAGAGATGGACAGGGACAGGAAGAAGGTATAACATGTACACAGATCAGTAAATACTATCAAGAAAAAGCGTAAGAAAAAAAATTGAAAAGGCCTCAAATTGGTGGTGGCGGCAATCATTGAGCTGAGTATTGAGGGAAGGCTAAGAATTCTTGGAGGCCAGGCAAAGGAGAGCATTCTAGCATGCCCAGACAGCCTGTTCAAAAGCACAAACAAGAGAAAAAATGTCATGGAGATAAGCAAATTGCCTAGTTTGTCTATAACATATCATGTACAAAGGCAGTAATATAAGACTGAAAATGTAAACCGGAGTCAGATTAAAAACTAAAAACACAGAGTCCCCCACTCCTAGAATGCCTCCCTCCTCACTTTCATCTCCTAGAAGCTCCCTCTTCCTTCAAAATACAGTTCAAGCACCTTCAGATGCTAAACTGGATCATAAATTAGACTAAAATGCTAACAATTTGAGCAAAAGTTGTAAACTACATGGAAACTGAGAAACGATCTATTAAACAATGACTACGTTTAAAGAAGAAATCAGAAAAATGAATTTAAAATTAAAAAATACCACATAATAAAATTTAGGCAATGCAGACAAAACCATTCTTAGAGGCAAATTTGTATTAAATGTCTAAGAAAAGTAGTAAAAAGAATGAAGATGACACTTAAAAAGACACAAGAAAGCATTAAGACAGAAATTATAACAGAAAAATAGAAAATCAAAGAACAACATGGAATTGATAAATAAAATCAGAATTGTTTTAAAGACCTAGTACAAATGACAAAATACTAGCTTCAGAAGAAGAGGAAAAAAAGAAAATGTGAATCAGTAAAATGACAGATTAAAAAGTTATTACAGCAAAGACAAAAGTAACTAAGAATATCATTAAGGAATTGCTGTACACTATTTCTAAGAAACTGGAAAATTAAAGGAAGCAGAAAATTATCTATAAAATATAAATTATCCAATAATAAGACAGAAAATTTGTAATATAAGCAAACAAATCTTTAGGGGAAAAAAGACAAACCATCAAATAGGGAAGGGGTGAAAAAATCCTACTTGCAGCAGAATTTCTTAAACTCTCTAAAGTCAAATAATCCCCATGTTTCATTCATTAATATAAAGATAAGCTCATTACCCTGTATCCTTGTGAAGTAAATATGGTGTTGTTTTTAAAATCATCTGATGATCACATATGCACACATACTAAAACAAAATTTTGTACAATTTTACTAAAGAATATGAACATAAAAGTGATAAATAGAAAATTTAAAATACCAGTAATACAATATGAACATAAAAATAATAAATAGAAAATAAAAATACCAGTGAGAATATGAACATAAAAATAATAAATAGAAAATAAAAAAATACCCCACCAGTACATTAAGAATTCATTGTGACAATGTAGGATTTATGCCAGGCACACAATGCAGGTTCAACATCAAAAAAAGTATTAACATAAGAAAAGATAAAAACACATAATTACATCAATAAAAGAAATAAAGCCTTTCATGGAATCCAATAATCATTCATGACTTTAAAAAGCACTTAAAATAATGAGTAAAGAATTTTTTTTCAGC